TCAAAGAGAAGGTCAAAGCCAATTTCTTCGATCTAAATAGCGTCCGGAGATTGTTGCAGATAGTTACCAAACCAAGGAAAAACGGTCGAAAAAACTTGATTTTGGCTTTGGGCATCGTTGGAATCAATGTTACATTCACAGTTGGCACAGCAGCTGTAAGCATTTTGTATGTTCTCCGTAGTCCCTTATGCTGGCAACCAACTGTACTTGGGTACTTTCTCGCATACCGGTTCTTTGTGTTAGGTGCAGGGGGTGTCATTTTTATCTACGTATTGAAGAAATGCTTTAACGAAATCAATGTAACGCGTCTTGGTTTTGTCAGCCAAATCGCTGCAATGCTACTGTTTGCATTTTCAACAAAAACCTGGATGGTTTTTCTGGGTAAGAGTTTATATAATCTGATTTTGTTTTGCGAACGTTTTGATATATAAATATAATGTTCCTTGTAAAGGTAAATCTGCGTTGTTTGTGATGTTTTGTATTCTTAATTATGTGCATGATATTGCTCTTCATTCTCTATGTTCCTCGGAATGGTTATTTGTACTCAAGAGATATCATATTWGATTCATGTTTGCACCTGCTTTACTACAGTCCCGGCCGTGTCTATCCTTTCTGCAATTCAAGACCCTGTTTTGTCCAGCATAGCATCCAGGATTGTCACCAAAGAGGAACAAGGTATTCATGCCGGAATTTTAATAGTTGATAGAGTACATTGCATTGATATAGTACAAATAATTATCTGGATCTAACTTAATTAAACTGAACGAGGATCTTCCAGGTTTGCTTGTGTGATAGGAAAAAGAGTGTATTCATAGTTAGTACAGGGAGACCCTCTACTAACTATGATGTATTCTAAGGTAAATATGATTACACCGTGATACTGAAGAGCATGGAAATTGTGAACTGGAACTTCATTTTACAGATGATCGTTAATACACGGCAACCCCTACTATACATTTAATTACCTAATATTCTTTATATTCATCTCCGTGATCGTTGAGCCTTAAAATCCGAATAGATAAGAATAACTCTAGGGTGTCTTTAATCTCGGTGATCAAACATCAAAATGACGACGGGGTTTTTATAAGACTAAGAGAGGCTTTGATCTAACAACAAGAAGAGCAACGTACATAGAGAAGACCAGCAGCCATCAACACTGACCCTGGAAAGTTCTCGTGGTTTGGAATTGTTCCTAGCTTGTTCGCTGTTAGATATACACAACAATTTCTTGGATGTTAAGGTTTCTTTAAGGCTTCAACACTAAATAACTCAAATCCATGTTTTTTTTTCTTTCAGGGATTCTGTTTGCCGTTAGTGGGTGTATTGGCGCCACAGGCGAGCTTGTTGGGAATGCACTTTTTAACTCACTGTATCCACTCTCTCTTCAGTTTAATTTTCCTGGTTTTGTGTTTGTGCTTTGTGCTGGATGCTCTCTCGTTCTATTGCTGTGTACCAGGTAATCGTAGGATAATATATCAGCATAGTATCTGAATACACCTACATGATTTAGTCCTAGTATGCTTGTTGGCAATTTTGAGCAATAGCCGGGGATTATTGAACAAACCAATGTATTCATAGTAATATTTACATTGTTTTACAGTTTATTTGACGTACAACTTGACATCCTCAACAAGCAAGAGGTGGACGTCAATGAAAACAAGCAAGTAGAGACGACTGCACTATAAACTCCCAATATCGGCACTGGAGAGAAACGCAAGCGTGTCTAAACAAAAATTTGTCATGTACAATTCCCTGTCGTATACGGGAATCTTAAATTCATAAGTTTTAAGATTCACCAAACCATTTCCACCGAAGAAGACGACAGTCAGTCGTTGAAACGTTTGCACAATTTTAATTTTTTCCACAATCAGTGACAACTTTATACACTTATTATATAAACAAAATGTCAGTTAATCGTGAACACTTCGTACAAATGAAAGGCAATATTTTTCTTCTTATATACTAAAACGTTTTGTATATACTTAGTAGGGTAATAAGAATATCATGCCACTGAGTTATCGTACATCTTCCGAGAGTGCGCAGTGCTTTTCTCCCCAGTGTTCCAACGACAATGTATGCAGACATCTAGTATAAACACATATAAATCAATAGCTATAGATTATAATTGATAGTTAGTAAACTGATAGTGAAGACATGTAGGTTATAGTTTTTACGCATCGCCTATAGTTAGGTAAAGACCTTCATGAAGTCATAGCATGTCCTAACTATATCATATTAATAACTACTGAGCATCCCGCTTTACTAAAGTGCATGAGTTTCAGATAAAAACATGTAATAGTTGTGAGTAGCTATAAGAGTTTGAAAATGGGGGCGAGACTAGTGTTGTAATAGACACACACAAAACTCAATTTCCAAACAAGCCAATTTCCTTTTAGATTGTCCTTCAATTTTTTAGAATCTGTTTATAAATGGAACTGAGCACTCCAAAAAAAAAATWAATCAATGTTTGATTGTTGTGAATGAACTCGCGAGAACCAGGCGTAAAGGTCGACACAATGTCAAAAACCTGTAAACACCAGCTACTCTACGCAGGTGGAGACTCAAATGATAACTTTACAAGTTCCACGAGGTTAGATTGGGTTTACATTACAGCGGACAATAAGGTAATAGCTTAGCTAATGAGCGAATGGGCCATTTCATGGAATCCTGGCCATGCACAAATCGAGCACTTAAATAATGCTTGGAAATAAAACTCCTTGATGTCCTTTCCCCTAGGKGAAAGGAAACAAAAGAAACCATACAACTGCCCGCTTCATGAATCAGGCCCTGGGTTAGTTATGAATATCGTATAGACGGACAATGAGTAAGGAATCTTCTCATTGTCACATTAGCATATTACTTAGGGTAAGTGACTGAGACAGAATCAAGAAAAAAAGTCTAGGAAATACTCTTAACTTTATTCGTTATCGGCTGTGCCGTATCCCCTGGAAAGTCAACGATTATAAACGTCATCGTCTCTTTTGAACTTTTATCATTGGTAAAGACTACATAAACACAAAACCACTAAATTGAAAAGCTATTACCCCGAAAAAGAATTTACATATTTTGGGAGAGCCATACTCTATTTTTTCAAGACATATGATTATATGCAATTTACACATTTTAGGATCATTCTCTTTCATTCTCCGTACATTCACAAATGGCTGTGATATCTTAAAAATAGCTATAGCTGATGAGTATAAACTTTGCTGTAAGGTTTTAAAAAGAAACTCTTTGGAGATTTGTTTTGGATGTAAGCACAAAATTTGCATAAATGAGTAGATCTGTAAAACTTTAAACAGCCGGCCATATAGTATCATTAATAAGCCAGCCAATAGCAGAATGTTAATGAAGATTATCGAAAGTGTGGGTTTGTAGTCTTTTAATGCATAAACATCCACAGTAAGTCCAAACATCATCAATATTTTACGGTTTTTATACGAAAAAGGAAGCTGCGACAAAGAGGTGTGATAGTTTTATTTTTACATATTTTGCATATGTATAAGGGTTTTAATTGACAAAGGTTTTGTAATTACATTTAAACCTAGAGGTTCACTACCAAAACAGCTGCGAGATCCCCTCCAAGACCCTAAACGGTATTTTCAGAGTAAGTATATGTGTACATATCATACAGTTAATCACTGAAAAGTATTTTTTCAAAATGGCTTATTTAAATCATATTCAACATCCGTTCACTATCATCAAATCGAAATTACACTTTAGATAGGAGCTCCGTGAATTAGCTGAAATGCTTTGGAATAGAAAACACCTTTTCATAACACCTTTCCTTTGTAAAATCATATTCCATAATTTAAAAACAATTTTAAAATCTCATATAGATCTACTGTAGATCTAAGGCAGTCTAGAGTTTGCTATAAAAAACAACATTTCCACAGTAGTCATGTCGACGGGGAATTAGCATTATGTCCAAAATTCATAGTTCCGAAATCAAATTTGCAGAGGTAAATTCGGGACGTTTTCACTTGAAATGCGACTTAAGGTATACTTGTTAATATTTGACCCTGAAATTTGCATCTGAATGGTTGTTTTCATTTTACTTTATAAAAACAGAACCAAATATCATCCAAAATTAGAATTACCTATTAAGTACCTTCTACAAAACACAACCTTATCGGTACACATTACTATCCTCGATATGCATCTATTGAGCCTATATCAATATTTAGGACTATTTTGGCTTTTAAACGCCGACCAAATGATTTTTTATTCATTTCGAATGTCCAGCACGTCTTGTTTGGATAGTACCCCTCAAGCTACCAGAACTCATTCAAAAGGTTGAAAGGGCCGTTAACACTGGCTATGTTTGTGGTCATTTCGATCCTGGAGAATAATTCTAATGACACTTTTATTCAGCACCACCGACAAAATCTATTATATTTTTGATGAAAATCGCCCAAAAAATTGCAGGAAAAATCCCAGTGTAAAGGGGTCTTAAGTATATAACAAAAACACAAGAACGGATCGAACCGAAATGAAAACGTTTTTACTCGTAAAATTATTTTCGCAGCCAGTTAAAAAAAGAGTCCCTTTATAAATGTTTGAAAGATGTCGGCTAATAATTTGCATAAAAATTGGACTGTACAATTTTAAACGWTTGTCTTCTCTGCCCCCTGTTATTTAGTGATGGTATTTAGTGCTCGTATTGCTCCAATAACGCCACAGGATTGTAATTATAAAGAAATAAAACAAGATAAAAACGTGAATATTATAACTAAAATGATAATTTTTCTTAAAAAAAAGGAACATACGAGTTGTCAATGTCGGATTTGGAATACAAAATGTCTTGGCATGGCATTACCAACGCTGTTAATTGTAATATCACATATTAGAACATTTGTTCTGGACTAATCCATAGCGATAATCCCTGCTAACATTCTCGAGGTTTTCAAAATATCACACATCTCGGACCCTTACACCGCATTGTCTTTTTGCAGTAGGTCTGCTGTTTCTGCCTCGATCTGTCTGTGAAACGCGTTCAAATCAATCAAATGAGTCTCTATTATTAATAGGAAAACACTTGCCGTCTGAACGCTTCGTTCTTATCGTTTCCTATTTTTCGAATGACAAAAACTGATTAATCTTTTCTCAGATGGATGCTTTTGGTAAACAAGCCCTGGACTCCCACAACAAATACCGCTCTATGCACCAGGCCCCACCTTTAACCTGGTCATCGGAGCTAGCTAGCGGCGCGCAGGCCTGGGCAAATCASCTCGCCAAATCAGGAACCTTTCAGCACGCACCTAGAGATAAACGCGAAGGGMTTGGAGAGAATATTTACATGATGATGGGTAARGCTGAGGTGACGGGAGATGATGCCACCGATAGTTGGTATTCAGAAGTCAAGAAATATGATTTCAAGAAAAGTGGATTTCAGAGTGGAAGCGGACATTTCACTCAGGTAGTTTGGAAAGACAGCAAGGAGTTCGCCATCGCCAAGGCAGGAAAAGGCAGCAAGGTGTTCGTGGTTGCTCGTTATCGTCCAGCYGGGAATTTTCTGTCAGCTTTCAACAACAACGTTTTCCCTAAGCAGTAGCACAATTGATATGCGTATATAACTTACATTAGGGTTGCAAAGTTGCTAACTTTCTTACACGTGTCAATGTTTGCATARCGCCGAAATAAATTCACTCCGATATTCTAAAAGCGCTAATATTTCTCATGATTTTCAGTCATTTTTATTAAAGCAAACGAAACTAACCTACATCCGTGTTGGGAAAGTCAGTAAAAACACAGTAACATTATGATTAAATGCATTATCAAATACAGCAGTTTTATACAAGTCACATGCAATTAAATCCCATCAACATAAATTGAAAGAAGACTAGATCTTTGTAAGAATTAGGAAACATGACAAGCGCCACCAATGTCCATATAAAACCACTAGTAAAAATAGTGTAATGATGTTTATGTTAGGAATTAAGAGAGAAAACTACAAGGAATAAATATCCAACTATGTCCGCTATCTTGCTAACGTACAAACAACGTGTTTGAGCCTGCTTGCAGATCAGCGGTCTCATATCATAACATGCCCCCTTTTTTAAACAAAGTAAAATATATCTAACATATAAACAGTTAATGTTTCTTAAGAATAATCCTGAATATAGGATAACAATCCTGCCTGATCGAGTTTGGTATTCCAGGTACATCTGGTGATACTGTTTCTGTGATTTTTCTGTGATTTTTCTGTTTCTGTGATTTCAGGTTCTTTTTCTGCTTCCGTTTACCGTCAATTGTGCTTCATGCTCCTCGTTGTCAGGTGAATTAAACATAGATGCTAGCTTTAGATGCTTTTGGTTTCTGCTAAGCACACGACAAGAGTCCGTTTCCATCCGTAGGATCTCGGTTTTTGGTTGTTTTGACCAACCACAGTAGCTTTACGGCACAACTGTCCCTTACAATTAGGCTCAATCATCACCGTCTGACCAGCAGTGAGTGGAGTAAGATCTTTTGCGTTCTCATTGTAGTACTTAGCCTGTTTTTCTTTTATCATCTCCCTTTCTTGGGTCACAGACTGGTTTAGTTTTGGCTGCAGGTATTTCTCCGATGTTTGTAGCATGGTCTTTGTGAGACGGCTTAACAGTCGCTCAACTAGGCTTGTTGCTCTTGACATTCCTTGTGATGGGGTATTTCTCAAGCCAAGCAATGAGAGATATTATTATTATTATTATTATTATTATTATTATTAGATATGCATCTTCCTGTGCCAGCGATACACGTTTCACCAACTTTTTTGCTTTTTTCACAGCACTTTCGGACATTCCGTTGCTTTGTGAGTGCTTAGGTAAGGATGTAATGTGCTTGAAACCCCACCTCTTACTAAAGTTTTGAAACTGCACTGTTGAGAACTGGGGCCCGGCATTATCAGAAATAACAACATCAGGGATCCCGTGCGAAGTGGACTTCCAGTTTATGTATAAAATCCTTTGGTGTGATGGTTGCTAAATAGTCWATCTCAAKGAAATTTRAATAGTAATCAACCGTTACCACTATATACGTACGCTGATTAAATTCAAAGAGGTCTACACCAACCTTAGGCCATGGGTGATTCTTTACATCATGAGGAATTAGGGTTTCCTACTTTTGCTTGGAYCCTGTACAGAAACAGATCTCACAGGGCTGTATGTAGTCCTCAGACAGACACGTGCCCTTCTGAGGCACCCTCCAATGCCAATATGGGAAGAATGGAGTCGTTGAATCATGTCTTTAAAAGGGAACAATAACTCTCTCACCTCGATAAAGGACTCCATGTTCTGTTCTCTTCTGGATGCCAATTTCGAGACAGCTCTTCTTAGGCTGCCATGTCTTTTACCACTATACACGTGGTGTTCATTGGRGGMGTACTGAATAGTTTTAGTGGGTGTTTCACGTCACTATGGCTTGCTCTGAATTCCTACTTGGCTGACACAGTGGAAAAAGACAAACTCTCAAACAGAATGATCTGAGTATGTTAAGACAACCCCTTGATACATTACAAACGTACAAACTGCCCAAACAATTTTATAGAAAAACACCTAAAAAACTAGGGAGAATTTTTTCCTTGGTATGGACGGTAAGAGATATCTATCCATGGCTGCACGGCAACCTCATTGCGTAAACTCAAGCAAGCATACCCACAACGTAAAGAAGCATAACAAATGTTCATTGTAGAAATACCTAAGAATGTCATCTGACATATCATCTGCCGATTTCTGCAAGGAATTGACACTGTCACTAGTTGCAGACTTTAGAAGTCCTCAGAAAATAAAATTGCTCTATCCTAAATGACTTGGAAAACTATAAACGCATCACCTCCTTTTATTGTCATCTTCCATGTACAAAACAAAAACGTCKCTCATTTTGAGTGAACCACACYTTTTTTTCTTCGAGACATCTGATTAAATACAATTTACACATTTTGTAAACAACCTGTCGTAAAGTATCATCACACATTAGAGAAAAACAAGATGGTGGCTAAATCTGGAAAGCTTAAATAGTGCTTGAAAATAAAATTTCTTGATATCTTGAATGACTTGGAGCCTGATTGTATGAAGCGTGCTGGCCTGCTTGACTGGGCTGATTTAGTGTATTTGGAGAAAGGAAACAAAAGGTAACAGACCGCTGAGTCGGACCAGCCCGCTTTATAAATCAGACCCTGGGTCAGTTGTGAATATCGTATAGATGGACAATGAGTAGGGAATCCAGTGATATTAAAAAAATAAATAAATAAATAACACAATACTTTTAAATTTCAAAGAAATGTTTCGACTTTCATAAAACCATCTTGAGTTTGAATACGATTACACTGTACAATCTTCACTTCTTTTTTCTTATAAAGTAGGATTAATCCGAACTTTAATTGAAAGAGCTTTTAAATTAACAATACAAATAATGCTTACAAAAAGGATGTTAACGACAATCAAAACAATTGTACAACGTAATTTGTTCCCCTCTTATCTTGTTGATAAGGTGACTTCAGACTGTATTCATACTGTTGTCTAGACCTCAAAACCACGCATCTAGTGCGATTCCTGATGAAACTAAATTTTTAAAGCTACCTTGTGTTGGTAAATAATCATCTGTTGCTCAACCCAAAATACGTCTTTTATCTGAATGTTTCCGTAAAGGTGTCAATATTAATTTAGAGTTTTACCTCTTTTAAAATAAGTTGTTTATTTTCAACAAAGGATCCTATTCCTTTGGCTCTACGATCACGTCTAGTTTATAAGTTTACTTGGGCGAGTTGTATTTGTGAAACCATTCTCGCCATTTTTCTAAACGCATCAATGATTATCTTTATATATAAGGATAAATCCTCTCCTGTTTCAATCATTTAGCTTCTTCATCTAGTTGTAAAAATTCTGCATCACCAGATTGCTTTGAAATTCTAGGCACTGCTATTAATGGTTATGAGCTCAAAATAAAAGAAGCTCTTTTTATTAGTCATTTTAAACCTAAGGGGGTGTGGGGTGCGGCAAGAGTTAAGATTCGGACGAACCCCTCCTCAAGCTTAAAAGGTGCGGTGTTTCTCTTTTTTATTGTTTTAAAATTCTTTTAATATGAGCTGTTTTTGAGATTATTTTGTTAACAACTGCCTATTCTAGTATCCAGTTCTTACACACCATAAATATACCTATGCATAACTTTTAATTTAGGTCCTCATAATGAAAAAACGACCCCCCCATTGATCAGACAGCCTACGGGCGTGAATCTACATGTAATTTCATCTCTTGTTTTTACTTTTGACAGTTGTAATTTAATCATATTATCTATAACTACTATATAACTGATTGTACATTGTAATTCAAACTGAAGATAGCTTTATGAAAGTCCAAACATGTCTTTGAAATTTAAAAGTATTGTGTTATCAAAAAAAATATTGTATCATTTGTGCTCTTACGCTCGCTTGAATCCAATCTTGTGATTCTTCTCATTGTGGCATTAGCATATTACTTAGAGCAAGTGACTGAGACAGACGCAAGAAAAAAGTCTAGGGAATGTTTTAACATTATCGGCTTGTCCCTTCTACCCACAGCATAGGTCAAGGTTGTATCACTTGGAAACTCAACTGATTAACGTTATCGTCTCTTTTAAAATTTCATTATTGATGCAGACTACATAAACACAAAACCACTAAATTGAAAAGCCAGTACGCTTTATAAGAATTTACATATTTTGGGTGAACCACACTTTTTTTCTTGAAGACATCTTTTTAAATATAATTTACACATTCTAGGTTCATTCTCTTTTATTTTCCGTAGATTGCAATATCTTAAAAAAGGTTACTGATAAATATAAACTTTGCAGTCAGGTTTTAAAGAGAAATTTGGAGATTTTTTGCTTAATAGAGTAGATCTGTAAAACTTTAGACAGCCGGTCACAAAGTATCATCAATTAGAGAAAAACAAGATGGCGACTAAAGTCTGGAAAGCTTAACAATGCTTGAAAATGAAATTCCATGTTATCTCAAATGACCGGGGGCCTGTCAGTTGTGAATATTTTATAGAAGGTCAATGAGTAAGAAATACAATAATAATTTTTATAATTAACACAATACTTTTAATTTCAAAGACTTGTTTCGACTTTCACAAAGCCATCTTCAGTTTGAAAACGATTACAACGTACAATCTAAACTTCTTTTCTTATAAAGT